TTCGTACCCATCTTATTATTTCAACTATCTTGTTAACCGCTATGATAGGTTTTAATTTTCTGTCTTTTTGATCAAGAGGGGGAGTTGGATTTTGTTAGAGGAACTGTTTGATTGAATTAAATGACAAAATTTTGTTTTCTATCACTTTGAATTTGCCCTGCTGCTTAATTCGTTATGCTTTCAATTGATAATTTCGAAGGGAAAAAACAACACGAGGCTGCGGTCCATGTTAATTCAAGTGATTCACCGTATTATGTGAAGGTTGATGTAAGTGAGATTGGTGTAGGAATTAATTTGTCACAAGGGTTTGAATGTGGACAGCATCGCAGTGTGTTTATGCACACGACAAATCTTTGAATCATGTGAATTCTTTTTGTTTTGACTGATTTTCTGTTGCATTGATTGCTGTTGTGACCATTGGCTAAATTGGTCTGAATGGAGCATCTTGGTAGTTAGTTCATTTCACATTAATGCCTTGATACGTTTCTCTTTAACCATACAGAGTTAATATTATAAAGATTCATCATGGCTACAAAAGGGAACCCTGGAGACAATAGAAATAATAGGAGTCCAATGTCTGTTTTCATCATAGTTGGTTTGTGTGGTTTCTTCTATATATTGGGTTTGTGGCAACGGAGCGGCTTTGGAAAGGGAGATAGCATAGCTGTTGAGATTACTAAACACACAGATTGCAGTGTTCTATCTGATCTAAACTACGAGACTCACCATGATGATGATTTTGGAACATCTGATGGTTCTGACATACAAGTCAAACAGTTCAAGCCTTGCGATGATCGTTACATTGATTTCACGCCTTGTCACGATCAAATGCGAGCGATGAAATTTCCTCGAGAAAATATGGCTTACAGAGAAAGGCACTGTTTTCCTGATGAAGACAAATTGCGTTGTCTCATACCTGCCCCAAGAGGATATGCAACACCATTTCCATGGCCCATGAGTCGTGATTATGTACCATATGCAAATGCACCTTACAAGAGTTTGACAGTTGAGAAGGCTGTGCAGAATTGGATACAATATGAAGGAAATGTTTTCAGGTTCCCTGGTGGTGGAACGCAATTTCCCAACGGCGCTGATGCTTACATTGATGAACTTGCATCTGCTATTCCATTGGACAATGGGATGGTTAGAACTGTATTGGATACTGGTTGTGGGGTACGTCAAATCATGAATGAACATCCTTGTTTTAGTTATATTAATTTTGTTGGCCTCCATATAATGTTTGCATAAAGACATTATTGTCCATAATGAGACAGTCCTAAAGGAACCTTCAACATTTGAATACTTCACCCATGACATTTCTTTTTATTGAAATGCAATCATTCTTTCCTGTTTCTCTTTGAAACTTGGAGCCTATGTGCTCATTAATTATATATTATAGCTCATTTGTTGATTTATTGATGGTGCTAGGTTGCTAGTTTCGGTGCATACCTGTTTAAGAAAAATGTTATTGCTATGTCAATTGCACCAAGGGACTCTCATGAAGCACAAGTTCAATTTGCTTTGGAAAGAGGTGTTCCAGCAATCATTGGTGTTCTTGGAACAATAATGCTTCCCTTCCCGTCCGAAGCTTTTGATATGGCACATTGTTCTCGCTGCCTGATTGAATGGGGTTCAAATGGTGAGTGTAACTATGACATTTCTACTCTTAAACAATTAAAATATATCTTTTAGATCAATAAAAAAGTTTCTTGGTGTCTCTTGTGTTGATGATTTCGTAAGTTATTATGTCCTTTATGGATGACAAACAATTTTTTATGATATATGCATATATACCAATAATGAAGCCTGATTCAGTTTTGTATTGATTGTAAATTAACAACTTAGAAGGTTGGCTTGTCAAGTGCTTTGATTTATTCTCCCGTGCTTAGACAACCTAAATTTATTTTGAGTACTTAAACTATGGCCCTGCTATTTCTTGTTAAGATGATGCTCAAAGTCCCATTTTTCTTATATCAGATCAATCTGTTTTTTGATTTCCTCTCCCCACATACTCATCTTAACAAAAGTAAAAGTCAATCAAAGAGCTCCTATGCTTCTAGTACACACCAAGCTGAAGTAAAACCACAAAAACCACAAGTATGGTAGCTTCATTTAATGCCCCACAATTGCGAGAGAAAGAGCGGAATAAGGAGTTCGGGGTTTTTTATGATGGTAATGGGATTCCGGGGAGTTAAGGGTTGGTGGTGTGGAACAAAGGAGGAGAACTGACATGAAGGGACAATGTTGGCTCAGAGACAGCGCACGAGATGAGGATAGTGTGATGCACCAACAGGTCCACAGAATGCCGACTATGAAACACTCCAACAATACATCCAACACTTTAAGATAAAATGACCAATGACATTATTTAAACAAAATCACTCATTTGTGATTTTTAAACAACCTTGAAACTGAAATAACCAATATTGAAAACTCATTACATATTTATTTTCAAATAGACAATCACAGTAATTAGTTAAACCATAAAACAAAATTATTTTATTTTATAATATAATGTTATAATATTAATATTTAACTTGTAAGATAGTATTGATGTTATTGATAAAACCTCTTTCCTTCCATAGAATATATATTTTTTGGCAAAAGATTATTTTTCAAAATATTTATAATTAATTTTTTAAAATATTAATTACAATGCATAGTTAAAAAAAAAAACTAAACTCCTCACTTTCTTAGTACGAAGTTCATTCAAAAAGTAAACATTTTTTATATTATTTTTTTAAACATGTTCTTTGTATGTTTAAAATATTTTTCAATAAATTAAACATTTTAGTTGTTCTTTATAAAAATGTTTACTTAATTTTATATTAATAAGGATTTCACTGATTAAAGTAAAATTTTACCCCGGCTAATTAGGAGTCTATATTTTTTATTTTTTAAAGCAACCTACATATTTGTTACTATCATCATTGCTTTTGGGATGTTATATTATATAGATAATAAATTTATCTAAGACTTATACTTTTCTCATCTTCGTATATTTTTTTTTTGACTGTTTTTGAGCCTTTATTGGTTTTGATTGGAAAGACATGTTCTTTTTCTCCTCAAATGTTATTTTGTTGATGGAAAGACATGGTTCTAGATGTTGGTTTGCAAACATGATGCTGTTTCGCTGATAATTTTTGTCTTAATATCTATAGACCATATGTCTTTTGTAAATGTAATTTTCTTGAACTTCTGAGCATTAAGAGCAAGAATCTTATATTTTACTTTTGAGGATCTTAAAGCAACACCATGAGCTATTAATGAGTTGTCATAATTGGATCCTTTGAAGTATGAAATATTCTTTATTGAGCCCTCCATAGTGGAAGAGTCAAATTGGCTTTATCTTTAGTTGGGACTTCCAACACACTTCCCTCATGCTGAGGTATATACATCTCGAGCGTGAGACTAGACAATAGTGGGTGGTCCGATAGTGGCCCGATAACGGGTGAAACAATATGTCCACACAAATCTCGCTAGGATAGGCTCTAATCTAACTCTGATGTCATGTTAAAAAGTGAACTTTAAGCTTAACTCAACCCCACAAAATGGACTTGTAAGGTGAGGTTTGCATCCACTTATATACTTTAAATTGGGCCTATCTCTATCGATGTGAGACTCCAACATTGAAGATGACTTATAAACGTTTTAACATAAACAAGTTGGTCTCATGTACTCAATAGTGCATTCATAACATTATTAGTCTTATGAAACTCAATTAGTTGACTTAAGTACTACTATCATATTGTGTGTGGAGAACAAATCAATATTAAATGTATTGTGGCATACTCTCCCTCCTCTCTATATCCTGCTTTTTGTCATTTGGAATGTTATTTGGGGATGAACTAGAATGCGAGAACATTGTAGGTATAAGACTTTAATGACATAATCCTGCTGCGGCACAATCATGATCTTCTATGATGGCAGGCAGGCCAAAAGACAGTTTGATGCTATAACTGCTGCTATAGACTTCCATAAGTTTTGGAAAGGTTTTTTTTCTTCTATAATATAAACTCAAGGTTCATGATTAGTTTATTGACAGGGTCTTTATTAAACATGACATGCCCTATGGTCACCTAATTTACTGAGGCACAACAAGTGTGGTAAGGCCACAAAATTGTATTGAATACATAAGACACTTTAGCAATATCAATATCTTCCAGCTGGTCTGCCCCCGAAGACTGTTCTCGCTATTCTGGAGCTTGCAAGTCTTGGGAATATGAGATGGTTTTCCTATAAAACAAGGGGTGAGTACAAGGCCTAAGTACCAACAAAAGGTCATCTTTGTTGTGCGGTAAGAAGGTCCATCAGTAAGGAAAATGATTTATAGTACCACTACTTTAACTCACTGTCCATGGAGGATAAAGTTTATGCCATGTGGACTCTGTTCTGTCAAAACCACTAAGATAGTTTACTAAGGCAAATAAGAATAATTGGGCAAGGATAGAATTTGATTAGGTTTATGTTTTCCTGAGGGGGTAGGGTGGTGCGGTTCCGGGGGAGGCGGGGTGCACATATAGGGTCTGGGAGGGCTTGAATTCGCATGCACAATCCAAGGATTTTGGCCACTATGGTGAGATGTGTAAAACTTTGAGAAACAAGTGTGAGAAAAACAGAGTCATTAATGAAACATAAGGGTATTTTGTCTTCCAATTGCATCATTGGATGTTCCCATACTGCTCTTTGGGTAAAAGCCAATGGGCGCTCATGTAGTTGGGGACCAACAACTCCACAACTACGTCCTAATTGCGCCATTAGGCACACAACTGAAAATGTGCCTTTCGGTCAAAGCAAACAGTTACAGATGAGAGACAACAGCACAACAACTCCGGCAAGCACGGTAGCAAGGAAGCAACAAACATCTACGAAGGACAATGAGTTTAGTCTCACCTCGCCCTCTCATGGGAAGATTCTGCTCCCGCATCCCATGTAGAGCAAACCCAAAATAAAAAGAAAAATGCTGCTCGCACAAAAGTACAAAATCGAAGAAACCACGATTAAGAGTGCATAGGATAATTTGATTACAATACACGTGTTCCCGTAGGCAATATAAGGAAAAACAAGCCAGTGTGATGCATTTACGCACTTCAAATAATAGATATATATAATTGTTGGATGAAATTTTCAAGTAGATGCTCATGTACCCGCCTCGAAATAGTTTATTATGATTAAAACTTAATTGCATTAGAATTGGGAGTTAAATTAAATTGTCTAAGTACCATACATCATCTAATAATGTGTCAGAACGAGGTCTTATGGTGCCGATTTGAGAAAGTACCTACGATATAAATTAACCTACATTGCAGGAATACACTGTTGAAGAGATTGACATAAATATTAATTCATATCACTTAAAGGATGTTTGTTATGCTTAAAACCATGAAAAAAGTATCTTATACTGAGTTGAATTGGACAATCTAACGTAGTGTATTTTAGATCATCTGATCTTAACAATGTTGATTTGATGATTTTAACAATTTCTTCCTCTAATTTTACAATATAGGGTACAAACTATATTGATCTCAAAGGTATTACACATTAATATATGTCAACTCTAGTATTCTTCTTGTAACAATTAAATTGGGAATTTCAAGGGATTGAAATTGTATAACCAAAACATTGAAGGAATTAGAGCATCAAACGTTACCCAAAAAATGAACAAAATGGATCATTCCAAAAACATACACTATAGAAATACGGAGAAACAAAAACAATAAAGAGCGAAAAGAAATGAAAGAAGATGAGGAACAATTCTCAAAGTTTGAAATTAGCAAATGATTTTTGTCATAGTTTTAGCAAATCAGTCTTTTATAGACTTCGAAAATCGAGCAAATATGGACCTAAATCGAAGCAATCATAGACTCTAATTAGGTATGTAAGTCTAACTACAAAAATTTAAATTAATGGCACAAAAATCTAATGCGTAGGGTTTGTCCTACAAAAATTTAACAAATCTTTTTCAACTTAAAAAAATCATAAAATATGGCATCAAAACTCAAATTCAACAAACCAGGTCCATTTGAAGCACTAAAAGTGTATAATCCAATTAAACTAGAATCAGCCAAAAATAATATCTAAAAAAATATGTTTAAAGTAGTGAACAAATGTTAGATGAGTTGAAAATATAAAATTAAAATAAACATGCATAATGAACCCAATTTGTTATTGTTGACATAAAATGATGTAAACACCAAAAATAAAATATATGAAAAATGTAATCCAATGTGTGTAAAATATGTGACATCATTAACCGCCAAGACACAAACGAGTAGTTGTAGATGCAGATTACTCATTTTGGAGCAATGACCCTATTAGGCTGAAACGTTGAGTATTCTTGTGGACTACAGTCACATGCTCAAACATTAAGTTTCTTTTAGGCCACACATCCCATCCTAAACAACAATGTTATTATTTGAACACAATCTCTCAATCTCTCATCTAAAACTTGAGGATTCTTTGAATCCAATCTCTATTGGTCTAAATATTGAGTTTTATAAAGACGGGTATGATCTATCACATGTTTACTAACTAAAAAATGGTAATGTCTTAAGACAAATATAAGATTAATAATGATTTTTTATGTTGTTAATGAACATAATAGTATTCTTGCTCACAAACTAAGTCTTCGAGAATTATTAAATATTACAGGAGCTTAAAGAGCTATCGTTGTCATTATTGTCATCATTTTTCAAGAGATCTTTTGATGGAGTCATTTTTTCTCCCTCCAACAAAAAAATTGGAAATTCTTGAAACTACTAAGTTGGATCACACACACATGATGGAGTCCTTTTTTCTCTTATAACAAAAGATTGGAAATTCACACGTACACACACACACGTCTCTTCTCCTTTACCTTAAATGAATTTTCTATGGTCCCTAAAGTTATTGTCTCATTTTAGCTTATTTTAGGTTTATCACTTGATGTAGACTTAATGCTTCATTCCTCTTCAAGAAAAATTCTCTTTCCATCATTGGCCTTGAATGGATTTTCTCAGGGTGTTTTTTCATGGTTGACCATTCATTCAGGTCTCTTGATGTGTTTCTTTCTCCTTCATTGGTCTTTCTCTCCTTGACCCTTATGAATTTTCTAAAGATATGACCATCATTCAAGGGTGGGGGCAATTTGAGGCTTCAAATAGATCCACAATATCCACTATGTATTTAACAATATCCACAAATACAAAAAAATGTAAACCACAAAATCAAGAAGAGAGAAAAGAACAAATACTAGAGTTCTACTCTTTCAGTACTAAGTTTTTTTAAGCTTCACTTATTCTTCATTCTTTCTCATGATTTTTTTTCTTCAGTTGTCTTTTTTGTGGCCGCCATATTCCTAATAATATAATTGACACATATTTTAACATCATCGACGTGTCATTTTTTGATGGCCAAAACTTACTCCACAATCAATAATAATTCATAAACCCACATGGGCCAATCACAAAATACACGTAATGGTGTTAAAAGTTGTAAAAAAATGTTGTCAATATATATTATCCTATCCTAATTGAATAGTCATCAAAATTAAAACAAAAGGAGATAACCTGAGTCAGCCTTGTTTCCTTAGTTTGATTAAATTTCCACTTCAAATATAGCTAACCAAACTTAGAATGACAAATACTGACTTATAGCAAAGAAATGCATAGCACTGTTAGCTGGATCTCCTAATATATTGCACACCTACTTAATTACACAAAAAGTCACCTAGAAATGGTTAACCTGTCGCTTAATACATAAAAATGTTGTGTTTTCTTCAGGGTGTCCTCCCTAATGCATAGCCGTTGCCTGCTCTGCCCAGTTTCTCTAACCATGTTGACAAATGTTCTAAGCAGGGAGTCATTGTCCTCTCAAACATGCTGGTCACAGCCCAAATTGAATATTTACGCCTTAAATACTTCTACACCAATGTTTCTTGTGAGGAATTTATTCAAACAAAAAAATCAAAATAATAAGATTTCAACATATTACTATTTTACGTTTGGTGATCCTCAAGTGACACACAATTGGGAAGATACCTCCTTATTCGTAATGATTCCTAATTAACATTCAGTCCAAATCTTATGAAAATAAAACTAAATATTGGTGTCTTTTTAAGACTTATAACTTTTTACTATTGGTTTTATTATAGTCGATATAATGAGGATAGACGCAGTTCTCTTCTTCTGTTTATATTTCACTTGGATAAAGAAATATAAAGTTTGTGTAAAAAAATATTTTGATAATCCGTGATAGTCGGGAAAAGAACTCACCAGTTAGTTAACCAGCCAATAAATAGGTTCCTATACAGAGTTTGAGACGAGAGACATTTCCTACCCTCGTACTTCGGAACTCGTTACAACCAGCATCATTCCACTTCTCGTTCCAAACACCAACAATAGTCTATATCCTTTTCTTTTCTTTTCTTTTTTTTCTTTTCTTTTCCTNTATCCTTTTCTTTTCTTTTCTTTCCTTTTCTCCTCTAATCCTCTTCTTTCAAGAATTTCCATTGACGAAGAAGCATAAATTGATTCCCTAGGGTCCACCATCACCCAATATTTTCATAATTTCTTTTTTGCTTTCGTTCTCGTACCAGTAAGTGACTACTCTCTTCCTTCGTACCCATCTTATTATTTCAACTATCTTGTTAACCGCTATGATAGGTTTTAATTTTCTGTCTTTTTGATCAAGAGGGGGAGTTGGATTTTGTTAGAGGAACTGTTTGATTGAATTAAATGACAAAATTTTGTTTTCTATCACTTTGAATTTGCCCTGCTGCTTAATTCGTTATGCTTTCAATTGATAATTTCGAAGGGAAAAAACAACACGAGGCTGCGGTCCATGTTAATTCAAGTGATTCACCGTATTATGTGATGGTTGATGTAAGTGAGATTGGTGTAGGAATTAATTTGTCACAAGGGTTTGAATGTGGACAGCATCGCAGTGTGTTTATGCACACGACAAATCTTTGAATCATGTGAATTCTTTTTGTTTTGACTGATTTTCTGTTGCATTGATTGCTGTTGTGACCATTGGCTAAATTGGTCTGAATGGAGCATCTTGGTAGTTAGTTCATTTCACATTAATGCCTTGATACGTTTCTCTTTAACCATACAGAGTTAATATTATAAAGATTCATCATGGCTACAAAAGGGAACCCTGGAGACAATAGAAATAATAGGAGTCCAATGTCTGTTTTCATCATAGTTGGTTTGTGTGGTTTCTTCTATATATTGGGTTTGTGGCAACGGAGCGGCTTTGGAAAGGGAGATAGCATAGCTGTTGAGA